AGTAGAGGTAACGGTTGTATGCTCAATTTATGTATGCTGTGATTCCCTGCACCTCAATGCTGCCACCACTCGTTTCATATCTTATGACTATAGTAGTTACTTATCCGTTATTAACACTTCACTGGACCTCATGCAATAGTTCGCTAGTGCCAGTCGCTTGTAAGATATTCCCCTATCTACACTTTATATTGTACGCTATACTTGGGGATAATTAAGAATACTCTTATCTACAATTTAGTTCACTATGTCACTGCACATATATATCCTTGTCACTCATTATATTACTTATAGATAGATCGATATTTGTTTATTTCCACTTGTGTCGACATCCGGCAATAATTCACTAGTGCTGGTCAGGTCTATTTCCCACGGTAACCGTTCCTCCACCGGCACTCTCCATGTGACACTATAATCCATATTTTCCTATTTAGCGTTCACTGATATTCCTTTTTTGTTTGTTCAAAGGAGTATATGCACTTTATGGTTGCACACGCTTATTTCCCGCATTCTGTTCCTTCTGCTACTATCAAGACACGCAGTTTTTGACGGAGCACAAACGCGCGCGACTGTCCCCTCACACTGTGCACATTGTATAATATCGAAAACAAATCCAGAGGTCTGGATAAAGGCGGCTCCAGCTCTGGTCTGCTCAGATTATTATTATTATTATTATTATTATTATTATTATTATTATTATTATTATTATTATTATTATTATATTATTATTATTTATTATTATTATTGTGGAAAATTGCATTTATCTGAATGTTACTAATTATGTACATAACAGTAAATGATAACAAAGATAATTATTATTTATCAATGTTACATAGACAAGTAGGAATTTGGGACACCTAGGTCGCAAAAAATGTCCCCCTTCGATACCTACCACTGTCATAACCACAAGTTGCTCTGGACCTATTAATTATATGAAATATACATACACCAGGAATATTGGTAAATATATAAATTTGTGGACTGTATATTAAAAATAATAAATGGTTATATATATACACAATTACATAACAGAAGGAAAATATATCTTAATATCACTCACCAATTTAACCGGAGATTAATGTGCCATGTACAGGACCCCCCCTTTTTCCTGCATTTATGAAAATTTTTCTGGCCAGAAAATAAACATAAATTAGACAGCTTATCTGAGGTTCCTGGAGTTGTCCTGTCCTGTCGCCTGATATCTCAAGTTATGCAGGAATGCACATCCAACAATTTCGTCTCCTATTTGAGAGGTGTCAGCCCAATTTTAACCTCTAGAGCACGAAAAATTCTTCCCATTACACTAACGTTCTATTCAATTCAAAACCAAGATGGCGAGTCTCTTCTTTTTTTCGATAACATATTTCTTTTAAAAATACAATATAGGACATCTATTTACCTATAAATTACCGTATTTCCGGAAAATATATACAGTATTTTCCACAATTATTATCAGAAGTAGTAGTAGTAGTGACAGTATTACTATTATTACATTATTAGTATTTTGTTAGTATTTTATTATTATTATTACTTATTATTATTATGAAGAGGAGTGCCAGGTCAGTGGATATTATACAGCACTAGAAAAATGGGAGAAAATCAGATTTATTAAAAGGCGAGAGCAGTTGCAATTCTTCGGATCAGGAATCCTTTATCGGCATCAAGGTTTGTAAGGTGGCTGACCGGAGAACAGGTTACCATTGCTCTTGAAGGCAGGCAACCTGATACCAGTGAAGGGCTCTTGATTCAGAGAATTGGAGGGTCTCTCTCCACTTCTTGACTCGAATCTAAGTGTCACTCATTTCCCCGGACGCTGTGTGACCATCACAAGGTTATTATTCATTAGAGATTTGCCAGTACTTCCGGCCCGGGTCTTCTCCAGATGGCGACCCGGCGATCACAAGGTTTTGGCGTTCCTCATGAATGGAAAAATATTAACCTGGACACGATTAGCGGACGAAGAATTAAGTCTCCACCACTAGTACACAGGTCTATGATTCAATAAATACAATATATAGAGTACAATCCGGCAGGTCCTTATGGCCTCGTTTGCGAGGCTAAGAAATGTCTCCCGAATTTTTTCTTACAGTTTCTATGCTATTTAAATTACAAACAACAAGCTATTTTCATAAATTGTCATATTAATTTGACACTTCCACTATTTACAACATAGCAGCAAAAATAAAATATGAAAAGTTTAAAAAAATAAAAAAATGAGTGACTAAACGCTTAAAGTCCGTAGTCATTTTTTTTAATTACATATAAAATTTATTAATGCTACATCCTCAACCCGCCTTGTTGGATCACCGAGGGGGTGGCACAGATTGAGCGGCTTTGCCTAAGTATCCAGCAACACATGAAGCCTGGTCTCAGACCGGGCCGCGGGGGCGTTGACCCCCGAAACCCTCTCCAGGTAAACATCATATGGCCGACACTAGAGATTCTGACATAATATTTTGCTCCCCACGACGTAAGAGAAGGGAATCTCTTGATCAAACCAATTGTATCCCATTTCCAAGGCGCTGTATTACCCCCGTGAGGGTTTAGCAATCCCCCCATGAATGCAGTCGTTATTTAATCTTATTCATCAACATGAATGTAATAATTCGAAGGTTTGAAACCTACCAGCAGATATCAGAAATACTGATGGAACAAGTGTAGAAACCTTCAAAAGGAAACAAGTTCACTGTTTCTTCCGTAGAATGCCAGATCAAACAGGCTATGATGGATACGAGGGCCAGCGGGCCACCAACAGCAACAACTTAGTCGACCAGGAAGGCTTTCCTCTGGGGTAGCCGCGGGTGTGGGAAAACTCCCGAAACAGGTCAAAGATAAAATCAAAATAGTGCTCTTAAGTTATTGCACGGAAAACTTTGTAGAAAAAGAATCCCCTCTGGAGGTGCTATATCATCCCTAGAAGTGTAGAGCTTCTCCGTGATTTTAATAATAAAATATGGAATGAATTAGTACTAAAACAATATTTGTACTCAAAACGTCTGGGGAGAGATGTTCAGTGTACGAGGACAATGGCATCCCCACACACCGTCTTCACAATAATCTTCTTGAACAATTCCCAGCTGTGGGACTTTGTTTCAGTAATTTACACTGGAGCACTAAAGTTCTGATATAACTAATTACTGCAGGATGCAGTGCTAACACCACATTCACGTGGACTGTATTGGCTGAAGGAATATTCATAGATCAGTCACAAGTGATTCAGGATTCATTTTTACTAATTTAAAAGAGATTACGTTATGTGATTATTAAATCCTGATTACTTTTACTTTACATTATGCGTCATGATGCTACCTTTTAGTAACACATTACCAGGTAGCTTGAGAATATAATTTGGTGGCGTCAGGGAATTATGGACCCTCAGGCTGCTGGACTGTTTCCTCGGCACAATTTACGCTCCTCTGATTCCTTTATAACAATTTATCCAGCACTATTTGAGCCTTGAGGAAAGATGTGGAAAGTCGCCCCGCGTCGACACTCCGTTATTAACGTGAAATTTAACTTAAAAAATGTTCCGTCAAGAGAGTACGTGTCACTTTCCCGAACTATGAAATAAGAGTTTAGTTAGTTTATGTTTATTCTGCACACCATACTCATCCTGTGGGCGGTAGTCAAAAGATTACAGAGGTACATAATGGGTCCAGGGACTGGGCCCCAAAGTTTTGATAGCTGAGCAAGTTACAAAGGTAATGAACTCCAGGTAGATCTGGTCACAATCATGACAAGATTGACTAACTTTGGCAACTTTTCGTCCGTCTTTCCCACACTTTTGCGAGGGAAAGTTCAGTTATTGGAAGACATTTATCTTTAATACTATTAATGTGATTATTAATGAGTCCAGCCCTTCAAACTTAGATTATTTAATAGGTTGTCTGTCGTTGTTATTATTTTTACATTCATGGTGGAACGCTAAACTTGTAGGGGTTACATAGCGCCTGGGGGAATAAGGGGAGGCATCCAAATTCACTCCAAGGAAGGGGAAACACAATTCCACTTCCTTAGATCAAAAGCTCCCTCACCGGCATCAAGGAACATCCCCTGAGAAAGGTATCAATTAGTATAGATTTAATGTCTCGGTTTAAATTAAACTTCCCAACATAAGTATGTTAACAGGATGAGCAGTGACCAACCTGCGAGTGATTCAGCTTATGTTGATGACACCAGTGATAGTCAAAAGTACATTTTTTTAGTCATATTCGAAGAAACTGAGAAGAATGGCGGTAGCCGGCTGGTACTTACCTATATGCGGTTGCAGGGGGTCGATTCATAGCTCCTGACCCCGTGCTTTGCAATGTTTGTGATAGTATGGTTTAATCGAGTATTATTGATATGTTTATAACTAAGGACGAAGCTACTCTAATCAATACAAATCGATTAATATTATTGACAGTGACACTTGTTACTGTCCCCAGGTTAATCTAATTAAAAATCATAATTCTTCCACTACCTGTACGTAGTAATAGGAATTAATATAATAAAGCTGAAAATCTTATTATATTTTTCACAAACAAGTTTCTATTAGAAATCCTTCAAAGGAAATGTCGATATTACCATGAAGTGATGTAGGTTATCATATTTAGGAAGCGCTAAACCGGTAGGGGAGTAATATAGCACAGGGGAAATAGGAGATAAACAGGTTCGATCCAAGAAAGGGGGACACACATTCAGTTCCTTGGATCACGAGCCCCTCACCAGCATCAAGACTCCTCTCTCTGTAGAGGAAGAACTGTTAGAGCCAAAAACTTGTATTACTATATATAAGCTCTTTATAAACCATACGGGTTTAGCACTTCTTTAATATTAAATTTAAGGGACGCGGTAAACCATCCTCTCTTTCTTTTAAGAACCTGTCAACCTTCCAGTGCCTAGGGTATGACCCGCATGAGTTTAGCGCCTCTACATGCACATTATAACTCCCAGCAGAAGCCGCGGGGAAACTGAGGAAAATAAAACACAGGGAATATCATTAGAAACTATTATGGCCTGCATTTAAAGCATTAATACACAATGTGTTTACTATGCTTTTTTTTTTTTCACTTGTTGAAGGATGAGATTTTTTTTTTTTCCACTGATCAGGTACATCTGCGGGCCGAGCTGATATATTGAAGCAGGTTCCTGAAGTGCAGTCATCATACCATTTCACAAATTAGTTCATGGTACTGATTCACAGACAGGTTCCTGAAGCTGGTTTATGTGACATATTCATGAAACAGGGACCGATTCATTATACAAATCATTTTTTTTTTGTGGCTGAAGAAGTTAGTTCATAAATACCAATTCAGAAATCTTGTTTTTAAACAAGACGGATCGAGATAACCAACGTTCAGGATGATTTGTTTCTCAAAGAAATAATTATGATGATTAGACAGGTTATTGGTTCTTCCTATAAATGAAGTGAAAATTTAATTTAAAATGTTATATGAGGTTCTATATGCACGTTTGGATTTAGTTTAGAGTAAGACTAATAAGCAGTGTTTTTTTTTTTAATATTTTCACTGAATTCAGTTCACTTTGGCAGATTTTGAAATTCTTGGTGAAGCAAATTTATAAATTGTACAGTGAAGATAAGTAAATATGTTCACGAATAAAGCTCCAGTACTCGGCCCTGGGTGCATATTTTTCATGTGTAATAACGAACAAATATAAGCTCTAGGTACATGTGAAATACGTATTTTTTTAATCAACTGCAAAAACGAAACGCCAATTAAGGAGCAATTCTGTGCAATTTTGAGTTATGAAACAGTCTCTCTCACATACAAGTTAGAGCTCAAATTTGTTACCATGTAAACTAATAGGGCAGGAGTGTCTTTATGTAAAACTTAAGTAATTTGTTAAAGGTTAGTTGTATTATAAGATGCTTCAAATATTAATCTTGGTTCCTATCTACCTTCTTGCCAACTGCCTCAGCCCTTGTCTCGGTTCCAGAGGAACTTATACAGAACTTTCCTCTCACGTCGCACCTTTAAGAGAAACATTTCACAATATAATAAGCCCTATATATTAACTTTACCAGTCTTGTTTGGCTTGATTAAAATCCTCCAGAATAAAACAACAATACAAGCTTGTCACTATGTGATATTTCTCTTCACATTTTTAATGGACAATCTTTGACTTACAGGCGCACCTCAAGGAGCTTTAATGAAATCTAATAATTAAAACTGTCTTCATAGTTGTTATTGATCTTTCTTGCTTAATGAATTATATATACTATATATTAGACTGAGGCGCTGAACAGAATTATCTTCAAGATGAGATCATTCTCCTTAATGGCTCCTTAATGGCTACTTTTCTGAATGCCGCATAAAAACTGGTTATTTTTACTCTTCTAGTCATCATCTACAACTCACATTAATCCTTACAAAATAGTCTTCATAACAAAATAAGCAATTAAAAATCTGTTGTAATTTTTACCTATTATGTATATATATTACAATATATGTATGATGTTAGTGAAAAAATACGAAATATTTGTATACAAAAAAGTTTTTTACCTGCCCTAAATAGCAATTTTTTTTTTTTACAGTGAATTTAGTCGGGAGAAAATGTGACCACGGTGACCCATTAATGGCTAGTCATATGGCCCTCATCTCAAATTCCCGAAAACATCCAGAGTTTATAAGCTTGTGTGAAAATAAGCACGTCGAAGCTTTGGCAAAAATTATTATTCTGCTTGTACCTGAATCAGATATACTCATCTGAGTTAAAAAAATCGTAGTGTATCTTGAAAGCTTAGAAGAAACAAAGTGGACGTTAGTACATTGAAAATCATGGTTAATTTCAATTGATCATACATCTCTATAACAAACGTTTCTCTTGTTATATTGGCTGACAAGTAACGTTTTTCCAGTCCGAATTCCCAAAGCCCTTTTCCCGAGCGATGCGAGAGCACTGCCACATCTCAAGGCAGGAACGTTTTAAAGAAGTCACAATAACCATCCATTCTTCACCATAAACCCTCCACCCAACCTGTCCAATTTACAACCATTTCTCCTTATCGTTCGGTCACAGCCATCCTGTCATACAGTCAGTACATTTCATCGAACCCCCACCATCCAGCCAAAAGATACGGGCGCAATCATTCCCTAGTCAGTCTAGTTACCCTTCACAAGATCACCAGTAAAAGATACTCACCCAATCATCGGCTTTTTATTTTTACCATCGAGTTATCATAATCACAGAAATTATCTGGTCAACTATTCTCTTTATTCCAAAATAAAATCATTAATCACATGATACTCGTCTTCCTAGACCTCACCACTCCTCAAGCCTCCACAAGTTATGCTTTCTTGTCTGACATTCTCCAACGAACAACTTTCTCTGAGACTTCCTTTAAAACGTTGACTGTTCAAAGCCAGTCAATCTGCCGTGGGTGTGGGAGCGACGGTCCTAGCGGCCCCTCATGACTGGTCAGTTCAACACACGGTGACTAGGAATTATAACTGTGGTTGTCCTGCATGTCGATGCACTGTTATTTCGTGCTTTTGGTAAACAAACGAATTTTATCCTCTAGTGGTAACAAGCTTTAAAAAAAGCTGCGTTAGTCTTGATGGTTAAAATGGTGCCAAACGTGTTTACACTCGTCAATGGTTTTAACAGTGCCTCGATGGTGTCAGTGCGAGGGGCTGATAAGAACACCGCTTTCGTTTCTCACCTGTATTAGTATGCAGTTTTTGCAAGCTGCGGCAAGCCTGCTTCGTAGCATGGCACCCACATGTCGAGGGTTCAGTAGCTACAGTATCCGCAGGGAGAATGCTCAGTAGTTACAGTACCTGCAGGGAGAGTGCTCAGTAGCTACTGTACCCGCAGGGTACAGGCCAAGTGCTCTGTAGCAACGGTTCCTGTAGTTACTGTACTTGCAGATCCAGTGCTGGGTCTGCGTCCTCCACCGCACTTTTATAAGCACCAGAAATATTCACTGGCACTAAATCTGCATTGTTACAAAACTTCTCCAGTGACAGTTGGCTTTGATTGTTAATAATGTTAGCATGATACACTTGTGCCCTTGGGCCGTTAGTTTACTAGTAGTGTCCATATCACTAGTGTTAGATTCAGGACCTTCACCTTCGGCTTGATGGTGTCCCATTTACGCTTTTCACGTCAGCCTATGCTCTGCCGATGGCTTAGTAAGCCCGTGTTCAGTGTATCCATGGGATTCTGTACCAATGTCTATATTGTGCGTGTTCCCGGCAGTGAAGTAAATCTTGGGACTTGGCGTTTGAGTGCCATCCACTGAGGCACTGAGTTATGAAGCCGCGGACTCGGACACTTAGTGTTTACGAGCCCAGCCAGAGACTTCTGTCTCTGCCACGGAGTACATCTCCTCGCGGCCGGAATGTGTTGAGCGATCAGAGCGATGCTCCTGCTGATGGGTGCGGCGCGTGGTCCGTACCACGAACTCTCCATCCACCACGTCTTCGTCCTCAAGGTAGTGCGGGTCGAACTGATCGTTGTCGAAGTCGTAGGAATGGTACTGGCGTTGGAACCTAGCTATGGGGCGCGGGGAGGCGTCTGGAGAGTGGTCAGGGGAGGTCATAACGTCGCTCAAGTGTGGTGGCTCTTCGAAGTACTCTGTGGTGGAGCGCTCTAACTGACGACGTTTGCTGTCAATGGATGAACCAGATACGTGGGAGTACCTGTCCAGTGGCTCCTGTATGGGTGGGGAAATAAAATATAAGTAAAACAGTAAACCATGTAAAACTGAACTCATCGATCATTTTAAAACTTTAAATTCAAAGCCTAATTAGACACCTTTACATCATATTAAATTTCACATCAAATCAAAGAACGGGTGGGAATCGAACCCAGGGCAATGTGAGTCCTAAAACTCGCACACCAGTGAGTTAACCACCAATCAAAATATATATTTCTTAACACAATAGGATGACCTGTTGGCATGGGCCACCACTGTGACCACAAATGCAGACTTTCATGGAAGAATCCCACATGGGTTCGATTCATCACATGAACTTATAACATAAACTATAACATGTGGCTCATTTAGAAAAATATAATTGAAAATTTGCGATGAAAAATCAACTCACGTGATGCCTCCAGTCTTCTGTGAACTCTGAGGCAGATCGTGCCAGAGACCTTCCGGTCCTCGCCGACATGCGATCATCGAAGTCAGTGTCCGGGTACTCATCGTCGGGCAGCACCGGCACATTATAGGTGATTTCGGGCTGTGAGCGGTCGGCTATGGAGCGAGCCCCACTGGCCATGCTGGGTCCACTAGCCTCACTCCAGGTGTCGGCCCGGGTGAAGTTCACCTCCGTCTCTGTCATGGATCGCACGTCTATCCCAGAGTGTATGCTCGACCTAAGGTAAATATGAGGGGCATAATATATTCAGAATAACAAGAAATCATGGTATATGTTGTCTGAAAATGTTGCATTTGAACATTTAAATAGTGGGAGACGAGATACAAAGAAACAGGTGATGGGAAATACTGAGGCTTCTTCCACTTTTGCTGTGTCCTCAATGGATGTCACCCACTGAGAACAGAGTAAATTTCGAAGGTGATATAAACTAAGTCTTCAGTGGGCCATACAAAACGGTATGATGTTCAAAGAGAACAAATTTTAATTGCCTCGTTATGGGAAAATTTAGGAAATAACAGTTAGAACGGAGTAGGAAGATGGAAACAAAATGAAAATCAATATTTTGTTCCTAGCGATATGCACTTTGTTCGAAGAACAATTAACACTGAGCTCTGATATCGAAATGCGCTTGTTTAATCACCAAACACTAGCAGATATACGAGCTACCAGGCATAAAATTAACTTAGCCAATGTAGAATGTTGTGAGTGCTACAAAGTAAACCAGAACTGACTTCGAGGACCGTCGGGAGCGAGCAGAGGGTGGTCCAGGGCGACGGAGGATGACAGGGTTGCCCTCAGAGTCATACTCGTACAGTGGAGGCAGTGACGGTCGTCGCCCGGACGGGACGCTCTCGTGTTTACGGTACCTAGGGAAAGCGAAGAGGTTAATGAAGGCTGAAGGTGTGGATGTTCTTGCTACAAAGATTCCTTGAAGACAACTAGCTTAAGATCAGTGGCGCAGCCAGAATTTCAATCTAGGAGGGTCTTAAAACATCACAAGATGCTGAAATAGTTAAAGCAATCTTTAAAAAAAAAAACATGTTATCAGTATATATGTGAAATTTCACTGTATTATGCTGACCAAGAGCTTTCGTGGTCACTGGTCAATATAATATAGTGAAAATTACCTATTAATTGAAAAATAAAAAGTTTTGCATCTGGGAATTTTTTTTAGCCTCCCCCGTGGCTGTGACACTGAGTTAAACGTCAGAGTGGGATGTGAAGCTTTATATTATACCTCAAGTAGAATTAGAGGGAAGGTGAGGGAGTGTCATTCCTTAGCAAACTGAGGAAGAGTGGGCAAGAGGTGAGGAAAAACGGGAAGGCTTAGGGAAAACCCACACTACTGGTACAGTGAGAGTATTTGGAGAGTATGTGAAGAATATTTAGAATATATGCATTTGCATAGTGTAGATTAACTGAGATGAACTAGGTATAGTAAGAATATAGAAACGGATATCTAGGAATATACTTGTAAACTTTAAAGGTCATATGAAAATAACAGAATGTTGGTATGTTGAGACAGCAAGATTACTTCGTATTATGTAACGAGTATTATTAGGAATTTTTATTTATCAAGTTTACCAAGATAATATTTTTGGCCAGCGTATGTTTAAGATTAGAATGAAAGATTTACCTTCGGCCGTCCCTCGAGGGCAGACTCTCAGTGTCGGCTTCAGACGGAGCCTCTGAGGAGGAGTCTACACGGTCATGGGTGTACGGTGGGGAGAGGATCCTGATGATCACGTCCCACTTGCGAGGCTCAAACAGCTTTTCGTACCTGATGTCAATGGAAAACGTTTCTTGCTCATAAACAACATAAACTATTAAACACCTCGTGTATTACGACTGGTGTATAGTGGCACAATGTCTCCTAAAATATGTTCATGCCAGATATTTAATGATATACCGATACATGAATCTGTAAACAACTTAGTTGAATGGCTATATATATCCTTGTCTGTGGTCACAGGCGTCTGAGAATCACTTCTCAAGTGAATATCCCAGAAAAACGATCTAAACATCAGAGATTCGTTGCATACCTCTGGTCGTGACGAATACGCTCGTAATCTTCCTTCACAGTAGCATAAGTGAGCATTGTACGCAAGGTAGACTCGGTGGAGATGATTTGACGCCACTTCTCTCTGTCCTCCTTCGTCAGAACGTACTGGATGGCCTTCTCCGTGGGTGGAGGCTCCAGCACACGCAGGAGAACATTCCAGTTAGGTGGATGCGGATGTTCCAGTGCCTCCACCTCCAGCTGAGTCAGATCATCTTCATCAGCATGGAACATGTGCTGGCGGAAGACGTCTGAGCCAGGCTCACTGTAACCTTCCCATTCAGGTCCGGATGACTCGACCTCGTCGGCATATTTGGGTCCAGGATAGTGACGGATGGCAACGTTCCACTTGGGTGGAGGCAGCGCCTTGGGCTTCACGTGGTACTGTTGGGGGGGGGGGGGGGGTAATAGATAATGTTAAATAAGCTTTCCACGTGCGAAACAACGCTAACAGTTAAGGACATTATCCTGAGGTGCCAAGTATACCAGGTGTGTGTGAAATTCAGTCTGAGATAGAGCAAACAAATAATGGCACGCATGTAAGAAATATTTACATACAATAATTTTCAGAGTAATATGTGCATATGAATAAATGGTTTAGGAAATCGACACGTTGCACAAGTGTTTCGTTTAAATAACAAAAAAAGGCACAATACCGTGACTGGAACGATACACAAATAACCCGCACATGAAAGAGAGAAGCTTACGACGACGTTTCGGTCCGACTTGGACCATTGACAAAGTCACACTGTGACTTTGTCAATGGTCCAAGTCGGACCGAAACGTCGTCGTAAGCTTCTCTCTTTCATGTGCGGGTTATTTGTGTATAAGTGTCTCGTTTATCAATATGTGCATAATTCTAACCAAAGAAATAAATAACCCTAGAAAATAGTGCAAATATGTACATATGCATATATACCTTAGATGACGATGTGAGTAGTGTAGGATCTACTTTTATTTATTTCATTTTAATCAGGGTGAAAGTGGTAAACGGTAGGCGGTTATGCAGCGCCTGGGAATGGGAAGAAATAAGGTTTGATTCTGTAGAGAAAAAAGAGAGATCAGTGTAGCTTACTTGTTTGATGAAGCGTCTATGTCGTTCTATGTCCTCCGTGGTGCGTGTCTCCGTGATGGTGGAGACGTGACGGTCGTCCACGACATGGCTGGTGATCTCTGGTTTCCTGGGCACCACTGACAGCTCCTCCACCACGTCGGTGACGCTGCGCGCCTCTGATGGGTACTCTGAGTCTGGCTCTGAGGGAGGAGGAGGACGGATCATGTAGCGGCGCCCGTGGCGTTCCACCGTCTCTTGGATGTCTGTAGTTTCTGTCGTTATATTCTCGATGTTTTCGATGTGTCGGAGATCTCGTCGGATGTTCTCGCGT